GGCCTACGTTTTGCAGTTGATCCTGTGGATCTAAAGGTATCCACCCACATTTGATGGTGTTTCGGGATGGGATAGGTTCCCCACGAGCCACATTAAAATGCCTACGAAACTTACGTTGCGTATCAACAACAGAATCGCCATTTTTAAAATACGCCTCAACGACAAACGCGCGATGTATACCGGTTCACTGATCTATGGCGACTGAAATGGCATCACTTGGCCTTGAGAATGAGCCGCTCCCCACCACCCTCCTCCACTTGGCTGCCGGACTGTACTCGCTTGAAAACCGTCAGATATTTCTGCCGCTCCCTGTATTTAGTTAGCAGTGGGAAACAGTAGATAAAACACAGCTATATTTGGTGGCAAAGGGATACAAGTAGATTCTTTGATAGGTGCTGTAATCTGGTGACCTTTCCAAACACTACTTAACATGTTGCTATCTGTCTGGTGGTAGAGGGGTACAAGCCACTACACCCTTCTGCCTCCAAGTAGATTGGTGAAAACCACCTGTTTGTTCAGTTGCATCATGAATGAAGAAGACATCGAAAACTACTTACTTGAGGATTTTTCAGGTAATAACTTACAGTATAACCTAGATCAACTGTCACTCCTTAAATTGTCACTTTCTGTTATCCATTACTGCTATCAGTGTTTGTGGATGTAGTGTTTAATGTTTCAACCAGTAAACCTAACCTACAAACCTCAGAGTCTTTACTATATTCATTTACGCCTAATGCTTTATAACATTAAGATTTATTCAGGAAAATAATCTGACATTGATTCCATAGCCTACCTATTTATGCGAATGACAATAGTGTACTAATAATCTTATACACTTTAATGATGGCTCATTGAATTTCAATAAATAAGGCTAGGTCTATGTTGAAACCCTAGCAGTAAGTTTTGTTGATTTGCCAATCAGGCCTATTTATTATAGAAAGTGTTTTTCTCCATAACTATTATAAATAATAAAAACCTTTCGTTTTACCCAGGTCTTATTATTGTCTTAATTTTCCAGCACTTTAAAACCATTTAGATATGTATATTTAAAAAAATTCTTTTTATTTCAGAACCTGATCCCCCCGATGACACAGATGAAGACAGGAACTATGATCCAGGAGAAGAAGAGAACACGTCTTCGGACTCATCACAGGCAAATATTCAGGAAAACAATGAAAGAAAACGGACAAGGAAGCGATTAAGAAACGAGAAAAACTGGAAACGAAAAAACGCTCAAGCTCTGCGTAATTCAGGTCAAACTTACACCAATTACAAAGGAAACCAGGTAAATGAGAGATCAGTTAAGCCTTATGATCACACTTGCCGATACAGATGCAGAGAAATTTCTGATGATGAAAGAAAAAGTGTGTTTACTGACTTTTGGGGTTTAAAATCATGGGATTTGCAGATTTCCTTTATTAATTGTTGCATGGAATTATGTGCATCAAAAAAGCCCATGGGAAATGCCCAAAATCATAGACAAAAGAGTGTTTGTCTTAAACTCTTAGGAAAGAGAGTATGTAAATCGCTTTTTATCAAAACCCTGGACATCTCACAAAAAAGATATGACAATGTTTAAAAAAAAGGAAACTGAAGGAACAGGAGTATCGCCAAAGGACAGAAGGGGCAAACACACACCAGGTAATAAAATACCTGATGAGACAATCAAACACATAAAGAAACATATTAATTTGTTCCCTAAAGCTACTAGTCACTATTCAAGGGAAAAAAATCCGAATACAAAGTATTTGGAAAGCAATTTGGACATTAAAAAAATGTACAAGCTGTATGTAGATCTTTCCAAAGAAGGAATTGACCCAGTTAAAGAATCATACTACCGGCATATTTTTGTCACCCGGTTCAATCTGGGGTTTAAACCACCTCGTAGTGATACATGCAATAAATGTGACACGTTGGAAATGAAAATCAAATTTGGGGAAAGTCAAGAAGTCATAGAAAAAAGCAAGGCTGAAAAAGAACATCATCTAGTGCAAGCTGAGAATGCTAGAGCAGCTAAGAAAAAAGCTCAGGAAGAAGCTAAGGCTAATCCAGCAGTATTAGCTATATGTTTTGATCTTCAAAAAACCCTGCCAACTCCAATGTTAACCTGCAACAAAGTTTACTATGCAAGGCAGTTGTGGACATATAACTTTGCAGTGCACGACCTCGGTAACAATCATGCCACAATGTTAATGTGGACAGAAGCAGAAACTTCCAGAGGGTCACAGGAAATAGGATCATGTTTGCTTAAATATGTTTCTCAACTTCCAGAAACAGTGAAGCACATCAACGCCTTCAGCGATAACTGCGGAGGGCAAACTAAAAGTCAGTATATCACCAGATTTTGGATGAACATCGTACAGAACACTCACATCAAGACAGTTGACCATAAGTTTCTCATCGCTGGACACTCTTACATGGAGTGCGATGAAGACTTTGGTTTGATTGAGAAAGCAAAGAAGCATCTCCAGTATGTCTATGTGCCAGATGAATGGGTCTCGTTTGTAGCATCAGCAAATCGTAAATTCCAAGTCGTGAGAATGCATAGGGAGGATTTTTTATCGGTTGAAGAAATTAGTGACAACCTAAAGGACTCAGTAGTTGGAATAAGAAAATTTCAGTGGCTTAGGTATCAAAAGAGCAATCCGTTGGTGGTGCTATACAAGAATTCTGTAGATGAAACGGAACCCTTCAAGTCTTACAACATGAAAAAACCAAAGTGTGGACGTCCATCAAACAACTTCACTCTCAAGCCGCTCTACACATCTCCGGTTGCAATTTATACGGCCAAGTATAAGTCTCCAGACATTATAGGAATTTATTCCACCGATTCATCATGAGTTCTACAAGAATCTTGCACACAAGAAGAAAGGAAAAAAGAAAAATCAACCACAAAAACCGTCAACATCTACTGCAACAGAGAATGACGTTTTAGCATCAGACTTAGAAATTGACTATACTTGGGAATCAGAATAAGAACATTCATTTCTTGTGTGTTTTTTACGATTTTAAGTTTTAGAAAGACGGTGTTCGTCGATGATTTTATTATAAATAAATTTGTTTAACTTTTTGGTTGTCATTATTTTGTTTCCATAGTTACAACCACAAAGAATTTGCAGATTTGTTTGGAAGCAAAGGGATGTAAGTGACAAAGTTGGAGGCAAAAGGGTGCAAGTGTATGCAAGGTCTTACAAAAAAAAATTACCATAGCTTAACAAAAATTTTATGATCAATGATTTTTTATCCCAAAGTACATAATCATATGTATAATAAGGTTTTATTAACAAAATCATCAATAGTCATAGCTGGAATTTACAATTGAATCTGAACTTTTGACCCCAATTACTCAAAATTAATTTTTTGCCACTTACACCCCTTTGCTTCTGAGCGCTTTTGATGATGAGTAAAAGTGTAAAAATGTTAAATTCTGTGAATAATAAACAGTAGCTGAAAACAGTCTAAACTAATAAAAAAGTTCTTCCCAAAATGTTTGGGAAAAAATTTCACAAATAGGGTTAAGTTGTTCATGGGGGGGTGGGGTGGCGGGGAGAATTCTAAGTGGCGCTGATTCGGGTGTTCCCTTAACTCTGAAAAATTCCTAGAACTGACCCTGTATGCATGTAGGTAAAATGATAGTATACAAGTAACAATCAAAAATTGGGAGGATGTAGTATTGAACCACATATTAACCTTTTCAGTGCTATATGAGATGATATATTTGTTGTTCGCATTTCATCCGAAAAGTGTTAACCAACAACATATTGTGCCGGCGCGACTTTCAATCATGTGAGTTTGGGCAAATCGGTTGACTCGGTTATTGTTTTCGAAACAGCGATATGGTTTCTTTTGATTCCTCAAACAATCGAGGCCCGATATATAGTTCCTTAGCACTTTTGAGATGAACAATTTTATTTTTATTAATTTTTTTCTCGCATACTAGACTTTGTCCCCATGGCAAGTCTAGCACTTTTTGGACGAAATAAGTGAATAACTCGAGCATATTTCAGAAAATTACAAAAAAATTCTAGCATCAACAGTCAACAGATGTTAATAGATTTTTTTTTTTTAACGCATATGGTTTATGTTTTTGGACAGAGTTTAACTTTGGATACAGCTGAATAAGAAAGGCCAGGCGCACACAGGCGATTTTGAGTTGCGCAACAGTTGCCCGACTAATCGGGGGACTGTTGCGCAACTCTCTCGGAGACTCTGAAGTCTAGCGACAGTTGAGCTGGAGTGCGCACACAGGCAACTTTTTAGTCGCGGATCTAGTCTTGAGACGTGTTGGAAATACATTCGTTACAGCGTTCCGAATGGATTTCAATGATACAGCCGTAGTATGTGCTTTGTTGCTGAAGTTTCGCGCGCGAAAGAAAAAGAGAAGATACTGGGTTCATCCCATATATAGTGAGCGACTTGTGAAAGGACAGTTTCAATGACTTTAAATATAGTCGGCCTCTTCTCAACTTCATCAATTAATTGTTCGACATCCTCATCACGCACACTCATACTTGTAATTTTCTAAAAACTTCACACAACAAGAGAGCAAACACTAGTGACAGTTCTGGCCATGAGTAGTTGAACTCCTGGGGTGAGACTGAGCGACACAGCGACTATTTAGTTGCATGTGTGCGCATCTACACTTGTTTCAATGGATACCAAACCTGGAGCGATAGTCCCGCAACAATTCAGTCGCAGAGCAGTCGCTGGCAAATTGGGTCCGGGAACATCGGTTGCAACAGTTGCGCGACTGTCCCCAGACTGTTTCCTTCGTGTGCGCACTCCAATTTAAAACAATGTTGAACATTTTAGTCGGGCAACTGTTGCGCGACTCAAAATCGCCTGTGTGCGCCTGGCCAAAGGGGACAAGTGAGACCCAAAAATGTTGTGAAAACAACGTTTCTTACAAATTGAGATGAAAATGTCCGCAATTATTTGTAAGATAATGAAATGAACCTTTTACCAAAAATTATCTTTGAACAAAGTATGTTATTGCCTACCGCCTGGAGTAGAGTACGTCGCCAGATGGCAGTATTGATACAGTCTGGTCCATGACTCGACTCTGCTGTTCCGTAGACACGAACACGTGTGGGAACCAGATCTTCTCCAACAGCAAATCTTGTCCGACAATCTCTGCCAAACTGGACTCAAAAAATAAACAGGTGTTGTAAACACATCATTGTTATTTGCTGTAAAAAATACTGGAAGGTAATTAATGTGTGGTTTAGTTCTCGATTCCAATATGGTTTTGGGGCTTAACCAAGGCCCCACTAGAAAACAAGCACGGGCAGCGCAACACTACGTCACAGTGGTGGATAGTTGTACTAAAATTACAATCTGACAAACAGCCAGCTTACCTAAAACATATGGGATATGGCAGTGAATCTATCAACGAATCTATCCACTAGTGTTACGTCATGGATCCTGCAGCATGGCCTGTTTTTCTAGCGGGGCCTTGGCTCAACTGACAATAATTGTACACTTTTCAATGATTTTTTTTTAATTCAGGCGCACATAAAAAACATATTTAATCATGAATCTAAATGCGAGCGAGACCCTTGAATTTTATAACAACTAGCTTTACCCTTGCTTGGACACAGCAGAAAGTTCGAGCTCAGATCCATATAAGGGTATACATAAACATAATATGTTCGATCTCTATCTTACTTATGTTTCACCTAAAAAGTGTTAATTAATCAAATATATTTGTCTACAGTTCATACAAAGCTGTATTTTGTTCACTTGAATTAGTTTTCAAAAAAGCTGATTTTACATTATTTTTCCTTCCCGCTGGGTACTTTGCTCACTCCAAATAATAACCAGACAAAACATCTAGGTCTACCACAAGAGGAAGAATTATTTATGACTACAGCAATGGTACTTTCACAAATTGTTCTTTCGTTAACAAGAAGGGTAATTTAAAAAAAAGGTTTTTTGAAGATCAAACTGATTTCGATGCACTGCATTAATGTTTTGAAAAAATTTTTTCTACCTGTACTTTCACAAATTGCTCTTTCATTAACAAGTAGGGTAATTTAAAAAAAAGGTTTTTTGAAGATCAAACTGATTTCGATGCACTGCATTAACGTTTTGTAAAATTTTTTTCTACCTGTATTTTCACAAATTGCTATGATAGTGGTTTAAATACCTTATTCTTGCAATCCAATTGTTGTCTTCACAACTAGTTTCAACCTGCTAGGAGGTCATCATCAGGTGAGTACAAGGATGATATTACTTCATATGAAGGTCGTCAGCAACAGTTTTTTCACATTCACACAAACACACGACGAATAAACACATAGTGCGCACACATATACGGCCGATAAAAACATTGAACTCGACAAGCGGACCCGTGTTGATAATGCGGAAGTTGCGTCTAGACTGTAGGGTAAACAGCTGGTCAAGCATCACGCGCATTTTCTTATCGCTCGTCGGTTCCATTCCCATTGTCTCTGCCCTCCCCTTCCCTCTCCAGTATTTCTATTGCAGTGTTGTATATGACGTTTGAATTAAAATAAAGTTGGTCGTTTAAAACATTATCCATGTCTGATTTGACGGCTCTATATATCTCGAATTCTTCCAGGGTGTTAATTTTAAACTTGTCCTGTGACGTATGTAAAATTTCCATGTTTTCATTAATGCTGCTGTAATTATGCTGATGAGTAATTAAATGTTCGGCAAAGGTTGAAGTTTGTTTTGAGGTGGTCTTCTTTGGTACGTGCTCCTTAAAGCGTTTGGAGAAAGAGCGGGAAATAAAAAGTTCTTATTGTTATCAATTCCAATGAGCACGGACGATTACAACGAAGAGATAAACATCATAAAACACATTGCCGTCTCCAATGGATACACGACCACGTTAATAGATAAATTAATTTTGAAACACCAAAACAAAACAGAAAGAGTGAACCAAAATAAAAAGTTCTTATTGTTATCAATTCCAATGAGCACGGACGATTTTTTTTTTTTTTTTTTTTTTTTTTTTTTTTTGTGGGGGCTGGGGTAATGGCATACCCCTAGCTACTTCGGCCTGGAGACCTTTTGTAGCACCCTTTAATTCATTCTGACAGCCCTAGGCTCCTCAAGTAGCCCAGGAGCTGAAAGACACCCAGCTTCCTTATCTCTGTTGGTTCCAGGAATAACCTCCCCAGAGATATAAGCCTTCTATGGGCCAACGCTGGACAGTCCAGCCATAAGTGTTCTGAGGTTTCTACCTCGTTCTCACAGAACCTGCATAGGTCTGTTTGTGACCTCCCTATGGTCCTGAGATGTTTCCTGATAGGACCGTGCCCTGTTAACACTCCTACTAGCAGACTAATGTCCCCTTTCTTAAGGCTCAGCAAGTCTTTCCAGCCTTTATCAGTGGGGTCGATTAGTAATTTGGACGTCCTCATACCTGGGTGGTTCATCCAGGCCAGAGCCTTTTGAACCTTGACCCAGTCTTGGACTTTGGCTACTCCTGAGCTTATGGGGGTACCACAGTAGGGTTCTGGTCCTGACAGTTGGTCTTCCGCACCCTTCCTGGCCAATGCATCGGCTTTTTCGTTCCCCTCATGCCCCGAATGTCCAGGAACCCAAGACAATTTGACTTGGTTTCGCTCTGCTAACTTTTTGAGGGTGTTTTTACACCCTTTTACTGTTCGTGACTGTGTCACACATGACCCCAGCGCCTTCAGTGCTGCCTGGCTGTCAGAGAGAATAAGGATTTTACCCTTTCTTAGATTCTTGCTAATAATATTATTAGCACAGCACTCAATCGCCAGGACCTCTGATTGAAAAACTGTTGTTGTTCTGCCCAAGGCCAGAGATATTTTGGTTTTGTTACCATACACTCCCAGCCCTGATCTCTCATCCTTCCGACTTCCATCGGTGTAATAGACCAAGCATGCTCTGTCATTGTTGAAGTTGCACTGTTGCCAGTTGTCTCTTCCCCCTATTGCAACTTGGTAAGGAATCTCGAAGTCGTATTCCTTTGTCATGAGGTCTGGTGTGCCTAGTTCCATGTCCATGCTTGGGAATCCCCTCAGGATGGACAGGTGGCCAGACTGCCTCTGTAGATTCAGCTCACCTCTGCTGCCCATTTTTAGTGCAGATATGGCTGCGCATTTCTTAACTTCCAGCCCTAGTGGGAGCATGTCGAGTATTGCCTCCATTGCAGCTGTGGGACAGGATTTCATGGTCCCACAGATCCCCGAGCACGCTAGCCTTTGCAGCTGCTGCAGTTTCCTGCCAGCTGCTGTCTGCTCTGCCTTAGGCCACCATACTAAGGCTGCATATGTAACCATTGGTTTGACTATGGCTTCATAGGTCCAATGTGTGAGTTTGGGACTGAGTCCCCATTTCTTGCCAAAGGTTCTTCTGCAAGCACCAAAAGCACCTGTACCTTTTGCGAGTACATAGTCAATGTGCCTGCTCCAGGTCAGTTTCTGGTCGAGGTAAACTCCAAGGTATTTTGTTTCCTTCACAAGTTTTACACTTTTCCCCTGAATTTTTGGGGCTGTTAGGTTAGTTCTCCTTCTCGTAAAGGAGATTAGCTCTGTTTTGTCAGGGTTAATTGTGAGCCCCTCTTTGGAGCACCACCCCTCAATGAAGCTAACGGCTGTCTGGGTAAGGTTGTTCACTGTGGCTGCGTGTTTGCCTCTAACAGTCAGCACTAGGTCGTCTGCAAAGGCTTGGAGGTCTATGTCTCTCCTGTCAGCCTCTCTCAGTAGATCATCCACCACAAGAGCCCATAGCAGGGGTGAGATAACCCCCCCTTGAGGGCAACCCTGTCGAGCAATGATAGCTGTCGAGTAGCCTCCCAATTCTGCCGTCACCACCCTGCTCTTGAGCAGGGCATTTATCCAAGCTGCTACGTCGGGGGAGATGCCCCTGCTTCTGACTGCAGCCTCTATAGATTTGTAACTCACGTTGTCAAAGGCACCCTGTATGTCCATGAAGACCCCTGCCATAATTTCCTGGTGTTCTAGGGTTTCCTCGATCTTTGCCACTAGGGTGCTTAGGGCCGTCGTTGTAGATTTGCCCTTCATGAACGCATGTTGGCTCGCACTTAGGGGGTTGATAACTAAATATGCATCCCTAATGTGGCGGTTTATCACTTTTTCCATAGTCTTTAGCATGAAAGATGACAGGCAAAGCACGGACGATTACAACGAAGAGATAAACATCATAAAACACATTGCCGTCTCCAATGGATACACGACCACGTTAATAGATAAATTAATTTTGAAACACCAAAACAAAACAGAAAGAGTGAACCAAAATAAAAAGTTCTTATCAGCTGACTATAATTCGTGTCTTAGTAATAAATTCAAATCATTAATGGGGAAAAATAACATAACAGTATCCTTTAGAACAAAAAACAATCTGGGACCACTTCTGAAAGAAAGATTAAATACAACTAAACTTAAATATGAAAAAAGTGGTGTTTACAAAATCAACTGTTCAGATTGTAATAAGTATTACATAGGCCAAACTTCCCGCTCTTTCTCCAAACGCTTTAAGGAGCACGTACCAAAGAAGACCACCTCAAAACAAACTTCAACCTTTGCCGAACATTTAATTACTCATCAGCATAATTACAGCAGCATTAATCAAAACATGGAAATTTTACATACGTCACAGGACAAGTTTAAAATTAACACCCTGGAAGAATTCGAGATATATAGAGCCGTCAAATCAGACATGGATAATGTTTTAAACGACCAACTTTATTTTAATTCAAACGTCATATACAACACTGCAATAGAAATACTGGAGAGGGAAGGGGAGGGCAGAGACAATGGGAATGGAACCGACGAGCGATAAGAAAATGCGCGTGATGCTTGACCAGCTGTTTACCCTACAGTCTAGACGCAACTTCCGCATTATCAACACGGGTCCGCTTGTCGAGTTCAATGTTTTTATCGGCCGTATATGTGTGCGCACTATGTGTTTATTCGTCGTGTGTTTGTGTGAATGTGAAAAAACTGTTGCTGACGACCTTCATATGAAGTAATATCATCCTTGTACTCACCTGATGATGACCTCCTAGCAGGTTGAAACTAGTTGTGAAGACAACAATTGGATTGCAAGAATAAGGTATTTAAACCACTATCATAGTTATTATTCGCAATCCGGAGGCTACTCACACCACAATTTCACAAATTGCTCTTTCATTAACAAGTAGGGCAATTTAAAAAAGATTTTTTGAAGATCAAACTGATTTCGATGCACTGCATTAATGTTTTGTAAAATGTTTTTCTTCCTGTACTTTCACAAATTGCTCTTTCATTAACAAGTAGGGTAATTTAAATAAAGGTTTTTTGAAGATCAAACTGATTTTGATGCACACTGCATTAAATTGATGTTTTGTACAATTTTTTCTACCTAAGTAAGAAATTATATTTGTAATTATCATCATCATTATTAAGAGATGGGACCTTAACAGCAGCTATAGATAAAATTTGATGTGCATTTGTGTGCAAAGTTACTGATACAATTTTATGAGCAATCCGTGAGCAAAGTGTCGTTTCTAAACTTGATAAAATAGACATTTCTTTCTTGTTTGAAACGCTAGTTGCACATATAACTCTTAACATATCTCTTACATATAACTGATATTGATATGATATAGTATATTTCGTACCTAGGGCCAAAAATGAGGTTTTGCCGGCTTTAGATAGTTTTTAAGTTCGGGACGAAGTCGAGAACTTAAAATGATCGAGAGCTGCAAAACCATTTCGGTCCGTGGTAAGAACGCTATTTCTCATCACACTATATACCCTATTACCACTATTCACCACAATAATAATGCACATTGATAATCAACACAACTACAACTTAAAGGTTATGTGAAGAAATAATTTGAGGAATCAGCAAAAATGTTGCTGGGCAGCGGTGACAATAACACAATTCACTTGCAATGCTATGGATACTGATTGTGTATTTAATATGCATTCATGTTTTAAGAAAGTAAGCGGGCAGCTGATTTTGCGGCCCTAGGGATGTAAAAACCCGCTTGGTCCCCAAATTACGATGACAGCGGGGCATGGCCAGCAAAACGTAACTTTCAGCCACCAATTAACGTACGTAAAACAGCTAAAAACATCATAGTGCAGTGAAAAAATATTTATCTTAACTCTTTACACCAAAGCCATAATACTATGATTATGTCCATCCGATTTAAGTTCCTCTATCTGGCTTTAATGCTAAGATAGATAAACCATCTGGAACTGGTATGTTAGTCCCTGTTGGTAAGCGACTACAGACAAAACCCTGAAATAAAAAAAAAACTATGGCTTTGCTCTCGACAGAGGAAATCTAATATTTATACATATTTTAATTATTGACTTAACTTCTCAAGGGTGTCTTTAAACTTTAAGAAGGGCAATTTTCAATGCATTTCTTATTGACAAAAACTAGAATTGAAAGACATATCAACAAAATTATTGAAAGTGGTATGTTTTGGATCCATTAACTGTTTAGATGGTATGGGCCAATATTTACCATCTAAACATAATAGAATCAACCAATACCAATAAATATAATTATAACTATACTAGTGACCACGAGAGTCTGTAGTTGGTGACAGCCAATACCAAAATTGGACTAGCGCGACGTTGCAACATCACCCGTTCACAACTTTTTGACACTAATTAAAATATACTAAACAATATTTTCAAATCAGCTGGTATTATTAGATTTGGCAACACCACACTGTCCTCATTGACTCCTTCAAAGTCACATCGTAAATAGGCTCCTCCCTCAACTGCAGACTCTCATGGACCGAACTGTAGAAGTTTGACCATGACACCATCAATAACAGTTAAAGATTCAAAGAAATTTTACAGGATGCATCTTTGTTGGGTCTGACTTAGGGGAGGTACGAATGAGGCATTTAGTTCAAAATTCCTCCGTGAACAGCGCTGTAGTAGAGAGCACTTTGGCAATGAAGGTTTACTAATCGCAAAAATAGTTCTGTTCATAAAAAAAAAAATTATAAATGTCTCAAATTCAATTTTATTATTTTTGAAGTATAAAATTAAACTATCATAACCTAACCGAACTAACCAAACTTGCTGATAAAGAAATAATATAACAAAAGTTTAGTAATCGGAAAAATAATTTTGTTTATTAAATAAAACTAGAATTTGCTCAATAAAAATGTTATAATGACTTAATAATAAAATTAAACTGTAATAACCGAACCAAACCAACCAAACTTGCTGATAATAAAAAAATCTTGGACAAAAAGTTAATGCTACCTGCAGGATTCGAACCTGGGACCTACAGTATACCAGCCCGGCACGCTAACCATTAAACCACCGAGGCCGATGGCTACCGACCGTTTTGTTACGGTAATGACGTTCCCTCAGCTAATAAGAAGCCCACAGCTGTCATCGTAGCCTCTTCTATACCTCCCCTGAGTAAATACCATCTTTGTTTGTGATGAGCAGGGTTGCAAATCCAATCTAGCATTTAACTACATAAGCTTGCAAATAGGTTGCCATCATTAAATGCAGTATAATTACTTTAAAAGATTTGTAGCCTAATTTTGTTGCCAAGCAAAAATTGTAGATTCATATAAAATTTGAATTATTTTCGAATGTTGATTAACTATGGACTTCTTCAATCATTTTACAATAATTTACAAAGTACGTTTTGTAGTATGTATGAAGATTACCTGCTAATATTCTTGTACATAAGGCGATCATCATGCCACCGAAATTGAACCAACATTTGAAGTTTGAATTGCTGTAAAAATAGTTTTAGTGTCTATCAATTCAGAAGTAAACATCTTTAATAATAAAAATATCAATGAAATTGTCTTAGTAAAACATTCTAACTCAAAGTTTCTAAACAAAACTATTTCATCAAGAAAAATCTTAACATTAATTTCCATTCACAAAATTTAGACGGTTTAATGGGAACCGAATAAATCCTCTCCACCTCACCCTAACTTTGAAACAACCGACAGGGATTACTGTAGAAACATACAGACAGCATAGCGCATTATAGGTTGTGGATGGTCTTAAGGTAGGCTACATCAGTATAACAAAGGATGGCTCTGTCAAAGACGGTTTGTATTAGTCTTGTCAAAAATACCTTTAGATCGCAGTTTTTAATCAGTAAATATGTCGGGGTGCATGTTGTGTGTAAAGGCAGGGGCACACATGGTGAATATCACTACCTATTTCGAATCCTTAGGGAACATGACTCTCAGTTCATGGATTACACAAGAATGTTGACTAGAACGTTCGATTACATATTTAGTTTAGTAATTGGTGCAGAGTAGAGACTAGTATTAACTTTGAGGTAGGTTAATAAAACGGACGACATGTCTGCACTCTGCAGTCGTATGCGCTCCAATACACTCTGAGAAAAACAAAATTGTTTGTTTGTTGAAATACGCTACTAGTATGTTATACCTCATTTTAATGTATGGTTTTGATTTAAAACATGCGTTGCGCTACGCTGTCTGTATGTTTTTACACTTAGCAGACATATACATACAGTTAAGAAAGTAGTGAGGGAACCCAGGAAACCTTCTCTTTAAACTACCTAAATTTAGTGATGGATTTAGAAATGGACTAAAGTGAATGCAGACAGAACAAAAACTAAGCAACTAAGTAAATATTAACATTGACAAAAAGAATTAAATATAGACCGACAGCAGTGCTGCGGTTAGCATATGTTCTGGCGTCCCCTGCTTGGAGTGCCGTGTAGTTACAGCGTACACCGCTGCAGCGCAAGTGTGTTAGTGCCGGTAGCAGACGGCGAAGAGCCGATGACGGCAGCAAATCGAACACCGAGCACACTCTAGCAGCACATCACAGAACCTTCTTTTGACAGTCTATATTTATTCTATTTGTCCATGACATTAATTACCAGCTTAGTGGAGTGAGACATTTGCAGGTAGTATACATGAACCCTGGAACTGATGAGTAATGGACCTCCGTACTGGGTGGTGGGTCTCACCATGACATCATAGTGAGATGTGTCAGTCAACAGTGAGATCAGCTGAGAAACAGAGGTGGTGTCATCGACCTTCAGTGCAGAACAAGTCCTGTAGAGGTGAATATACTTCAGTATTCAGATACAATAAGATATGCTTAGAAATATTGAGATCAAAATTTATTTAGCTTTTGAGAAAATCTGTGTGTTTTTTTGCTAGAAAATTAGAAACAGAAAATAACCCATTCATACCCCTTTGATTGACCCTTTAAATTGACAGTGGGGAAAACTTAAAAACACTTTTTGTAACCCAGGAACCCAGCTAGCAGCAGCAGCAGCACGTGCTTGCTTAGTTAGCTTTTTAATGAAGACAAGTTTTTAAGAAATTCAATTTAAACTCAAGAACAGTGAATGATGTCCGAGCCAAAAAATTGTAATTTTGAAACGTCTTTAAAGGACTTGTTTCTCTGAGGCATCTACAAGCACTGCTATGACCAACCCCTCAGCCCGTGTCGAACTATCAAAGTTTTTCTGTACTTGGTTTGACGACCTCTTCGTAGTGATTATATGTCCATTCTTCACCTGAAGATGACCCCTTTAAGGGGTTGAAACCGGTCGCCTTTCAACAGTGACATGATCACATTGACGGATTTTAAGGGATTTTACCTCTAGTAATAAATTGGTATAACTGTAACTGCGGTAAAAATTATGGTTCAAAAGTAACTCATGTTATTTTACCATAAAATAACAGAAAATCAGATTTTTGATTGAAATTAGTATGTTATGGTCCTTATAATTCTAATCAATATAGTACGACGTATGACACACCATTGCTGTAAAAATTGTGGTTCAAAAGTTATTGCAGCTTTTATGATTTTCCCTATAAAAACCCCCACCGCTTACCCATAAAGGTTGTTGACAAGCTAATGGGAGAAGTATGTGTCATATTGCTATATCGTTTATTTTCTTACTGCACCAATGTTTTGAACTTTGATTGAATTTGAGCTTTGAACTCCCAGGTTAAATGAATCATGATTTGGTAAGAGATTTTATGAATGGCGATTTAGTAACATTGTACAAGGGCTGCTCAAATCGTAAGGAGCATTTCCATCTGATGCCGAACAAATAAACCATCGAGATATAATTCACTGTCATTTTATGAAAATAAATTATTCACCTTCAAAGTTTAACGTTAAATAGTAATACTTACATAACGCTTGTGCCGGTAGTTACGATGGCGTAAAAACAAAAAGAAGTTACAGGAGATAACTTGTTATTCATGATGAAGGTAAATATGACACTAGATGTTTGTCACCTTAGATTGTGTCCCTGCATAATCTCGCCGACAGCAGTGAAATTAAACAATGGGTTTAGATAACACCGCAATCTGGCAAGCAGAATCCACATTGTAAACGTGTCAACATTCTCTATAATATTGACATCCAATGTCAATAAAAGTTTAATTGGAACTAAAACTTTTATTTTACATTTCCAAATATTAAATATTTTGTATATGTCTCAGTTTGCTAATACATATGAGTTAGGTGTAAAAACTGCTTCAAGAGGGTCATTTACAGACAGAAATTTGTTAAGTAGGCTACCTATGGATAATTTTGACTTCTGTGGGGTTAATGGGGGTATTGTATAGATAAAACCATTGACTGAAAATGTAGAATCTTAATATTTTCATTTTACCGTATTTAAAACAGCTGTAAATTCATTATCAGTAGGTATTTAATTTTATGTTTTTATTGTCCTATCTATCTATTTTTGAAAATGTACAGTAGTTCTGTTTTAAGTTGAATCAAACCATTTCAGTTTGTTCAAACTCCACTTCATAACATTTAACAATACCTTAACCCTTTGAGTGCCAGGCCAATAATTATTCATATTTTTGTAAGACTTGTTTGTTTACATCTTCTTATATACTAAACAACTTTTGCAAAACTTATGACAGCTAGCCTGACCATACCACTGGACCGAATTACACGTGGTTGGTACCAAATGAAAGATATTTACCTGTAGATGTGCAGAATCCCTTTATAAATTGAATGAGGCTCACAAATAAGCACAAAATATGAATTTGAAATCTTTAAAAAAATAACATGGGTCTTATGGGTTGCCATGGTGATGACGAAATAACAACAAAATATAAACCGAAAATCAAAACAAATGAAAGATATTCCAATCACATGTTTTATTTACAGTGTGCATGTGGGGAAAATAGAGAAGTCTGTACATTACATATTTTTGGTTGGGTTTTCAACCACGGGGCGGCCTCTAGGAACATATTATATAAAAATACTTATGGAGACTTTTCTTATGGAGATTTAACATGGGACAAAATTTTAAAGCTTACGACAGCTAGCCTGACCATACTACTGGACCGAATTAGACGCGGTTGGTACCAAATGTAATTGTCTCTATAATTGTCCATTTTGCTTTGATTTCAGATATTACTTGACTAAATGTTATGAAAACAGAAATTAAAAAATCTATTGACAATTTAACATGGGGTTAAGTTTTAAGTCTAATAGAAGTGAGATCTGGATATCTATTGGACAGATTTATATGTTGGTTGTGTTAAATGAAATGTTTCCCATGTGCCTGAAAAGTTTACTATTCCTTTAGTGAATATATATTAAAAAGCTTTTGGAAAACTTATGACAATTAGCCTGACCATATTACTGGGCCGATTCACCCGCGCGTTGTACCAAAAGAAGGTAATGGAAGAAATTCTAATCACATGTTTTATTTACAGCGTGGGGTTAAAAAGGAGAAGTTTGCACAATACATGCTTCTGGTCAAGTTTTTGACCACGAGGCGAGCTCTCGTTTTAATTCAATTGATTGCAACTTTTTTGTTCTCACTATTTTATTAACCAGACTTTGGAATAATAAGTCAATAAAAATATATATAACTAAGAAAAGTCTTGGTATTTACCCATGGTTGAAGGAAAATACATATGTAGGTGTAGGTGTGCTATTCCCGTCATTTGCTGACGTCACCCAGATTGCAAAAAAGAATCAGCTGATGTATTGCCATATTAGTATATATATATGTTTTATATATATGTTTTGATTTGATTGTTATTGTTTTTATAATTTTTCTGAATGGTAAAATGGTGTTTGCAATCTGAGTGACGTCAGCATATGACGGGAATAGCACACCTATGGTATGCATTTTCCTTCTACCATGGGTATTTGCAGTAAAAATTATATAAAACTGTTTTTTTGTTGTAAATTTCCAGGTTTTCTCATATTTAGGTCTGTTGATTTAAAGATTATTTTACCAAAATTAATATAATTCATTTATAGAGTGTAATGAAAAATTACAGAAAGTAAATTAAAAGAATTTAAGCAAGTTTAATAGAAGATGAGAATACCATTGAAGGGGAAATAGAAAAGGAGGAGACAAGCTTGTAAAAACAACGAGAAGTATCATGAGGTAGCCTATCTATGTTACTTCTAAACATTCAGCAAGCTACAACAGTTGATTCACATTCAAATTACCGCTTATAGATATACAGGCCGCTACAAACTATACAAAAGCTCCCAAAAATTGAGCTTACAAAATTTCATGGAGAACTTAAAAATTGGATTGGTTTTTGGACTCTTTTCTCTAAAATACATGATGATAAGAAGACAAATTTGAGTATCTTTAATAAACAATTAACAACCCTGATTACTATGCAAAAGCTACAGAAGTTTTGAAGTCCCAATATGGGAAAGAAAAGTTCCTTATTGAGTATTATGCAAGGGAATTGTTAACCCTAGCTATTAAAAGATAGGAAAAGCTTTCTGTGACATGTCTTTATCATTGGGGGTAAAAGCTTCGAGTTTTAGAGTCATTGGGTGTAACCAAAGACAAAATTGTGGCAATACTTTTCGCTTTATAACCAGCTATCCTAGTTGAATTTAATCAAGGCCCCACTAGAAAAAGCAGGCCATGCTGCAGAATCCATGACGTCACCCTAGTGGATAGATTTAATTGATAAATTCATTGCCATCACCATTCCCATATGTTTTAGGTAAATAAACAAGCTGGCTGTTTGTAAGATTTTAATGGTAAGAGTTTAGTACAACTATCCACCACTGTGACGTAGTGTTGCGCTACCCGCGCTGCAGCATGGCCTGTTTTTTCTAGTGGGGCCTTGATTTAATGCAGAGGAAAGATTAAAGATGCAGAATGGAATCCCTACCACTAGAGATGGTGGAGCAAAACTCAAATTAGGATGTTGTGCCGCAGTGTAAGTCATTCTGTAGAAGCCATATTACGATGCTGAGTTGGAAGAACCTTTGCACCTGTCAGTTAAGTCTATTTTTGTTTTACATAACAAAGACAAACAAAGTTGTATGTAGTCACTAGGAAAAGTAATACTAGTGTTTCCTGGCAAAGACAATGTTGTACGTCTCGTAAAAGTGAAAATAATAGAGTTTTCTTGAGGCCAGTACAAAGAGTACCCATTAGAAATCACAAAATAAGAAAAGGATCCTGTACTCAAGATGAACCCTACTACTGTACTGACAAGTCAATAACAACTACTAGAAGCAGAAGACAAATACAAATAACTAAAAGACTGAACTTGTAGATTTTATTTATCTTTTTAAGAATGTAGTTTGAGAAAACGTTTGCTAAAGGAACTACTAGAAGCAGAAGACAAATACAAATAACTAAAAGACTGAGCTTGTAGATTTTATTGATCTTTTTAAGAATGTAAATGAAGTTGTATAAATCATATGTTTTCATTAATTTTTAATTTTGTAAACAAACATTAGTCGTTTAAGTGGATTAAAAGGTATTAACACGTTCGCTACCACAATTATAAATAAATTTTCATTCGCATAAAGTAGCGTCACATTTTTGCTTCAGCTGGTCGCATTGAAATAGACTGATGACGCACACTCACGTCGGTCTTCCATTGTTATTAAACAGCTTATTTCTTAGCAACGGTCTATTTTAAAGCCCTGATCTCTTTGAATTGGTCCAGAGGGATATCCGCCACACATGTGAATTGCTTGGTCTGTGGGTATGACAACTGGTTAGACAAACAGAATATCAATGTAGTATTTGAATGTTTACATAATGAAGATGAAAATGGGGTCGTCAATGGAAATATGGATGCTTTTCAAGAACTAGAGGTTTATTTTACTTAAGAACAAAATAATGATGGGGAACCTGAAAATGAAACCAATGGGGTTGACCTTGAAAACAATGACCGTGACTACAGTGAATTACCCTATGTCGATCCAAATGTAGAGTTTGTTGTAAATTCCATTCACAATCATTACGAGGCTGTTGAAGGGTTATGGAAGGACACAAATAATGTGCCACAGCAGTTTGAATTTACTGGCCAAGAGAAAGTAAACATAAAATACCCCCGCCGCAGCAAACCTGCAGACTAAGCGAATTTCAACTCGTCTGATTACATTTTTACTAAAATATTTCCAAAAATAAGACATATTATTCCCTATTTAAATAACATTAGATTTAACGAGTGCTTAGGTTTGCTGCTACGGGGAAGGTAAAAAGTGTTTTTTGACCATACGTCAATAGTATAGGATGAAATAAATAAATTTGCCAAATTTTATCAATATATACCCATAAACAAGTAAACTACAACAATTTTCATTTTCTCCATAAGAATAACATGGGAATTTTTAATTACACTATTTTTGAATTTTCTCCGTGACCGTTAGGCATACAACAGCGCTTCAATATACTAAATTATTTCTTTTTTTAAGCTCTACAAAACGGTTTAGAAAGAAATCGCAAAATTTTTTGTTTTTAGGTTGAAAAATGGGAAAAACCCATTTTTACCCCATAAAACCCCCCATAAACCCCCGTTCCCATGGTCCGATTATGCTGGATCGCGAACTCGTTCGAATAAACGTAGGTTTACACGTTTGTACCAAATTTCATCAAAATCGGATCATTTTTGCTCGAGTTATCGCGCTAACGGACACATATATATATATATTATATAAATATATATATACTAGCTGACCCGGCGAACTTCGTATCGCCTAAGTTATAGGTTTCCCCTAAGACAGACCGATGGAAAGAAAGTACCGTTACGTTTCATTTTCAAGATGATTTCGTTCGCATCGCTCAATCACGTCCTGGTTGAAGTTCGTTCGCTACGCTCACTCACCTTTGGGTTGGAGTTCGTTTGCTACGCTCACTCACCTTTGGATTGGAGCTCGTTCGCTACGCTCACTCACCTTTAGGTTGGAGCTCGTTCACTGCGCTCACTTGCCTTCAG